TTTGGTTAAAAGGAAAATAAGATTTTCCCCCGTTTAACTAGTAATTAAATTAAATTAAGTAATTAATTACTAGTTTTTTGGGAGAGGAAAGAAAAGAAAGATAGGTAAGGTTAAAATCCACCTATTATATTATGTAAAAACTATACTAAATCCTTTATGCTACTTTTTAATCCTAGTATTATTATTATTATTATTATTAAGAAATTAATTTATAATATTATTGAAAATATATTAAGTTTATTGAAAAATTAATATATAATTATTTATAAGTATGTTAATTTTTGTTAATTTTCCTTTAATTTTTGGTAATTCCTCTTAACTAGTTATATTTTATTTAAAAATATTTATATTATTTATTATTTATTATTTGACCTGTGAATTTATATTGAACTCGTACTTAATTTAATTTATTCATAATCCACGGATTTACTATTTAATGGGTTGAGTTTGGTAAAAAAGAAAAAATTATTGATCTACATATACAGACCGAGTATCTTTAAATCAATAAACCCCAACCGCACACAATTTGGGAAAAGCCAGCTACTTTTAAAATGCTGTACAACGGTAATTTCCACGTTTACATTCCATGTTGAGTCGATATAAACAATGAGGTGTTAGAGACAGTTCGCACTATTGCAAAAAAAAACTCAATATAGAAACGGTAATTGCCGTTGCTAAAATAGGAAAAATGTTGCTAAAACAGCTTCGATTAGAAATCCTCGACTAAACGTTTCTAATTAGCAACGAATAACTGTTTCTAAAAGAATATTTAATTACTCGAACACGATGCGAGTAGGTTCATCTTATCGGTGCCCATAATATTAGGCACGTGAGAAGCTCATAAATGCATGTGAAAGAAAATGAGTTCAACATAAGCCAGCTGTGACGTGTGACAAGCTGTTTCTGGCTCCACCACATCAATTTCCACGTTTATTAGGCAACTATTTATTTGTCGTTCAAGTAATTTTCTTTTATCAGAGAATAATTAAGACTTAAATTTATTAAAGCGACATAATTTAATTTTTCTTTCAGTCAAATGTTACTTATTGAAATAATTTTTATTTATTTTTGAATATAAAATAATTAAGATAAATAGGATTGATTCAAGTGAAGTCAAAGAAGCCTCTACTAGTAATTCTCAATAGTCAAATACTTAATCCCATCTCCTTTGATAGAATGATTACTAACTTTTTATTCACGTTTAAGTATTGATGTAATGTGATGGACTGCTATTTTAGTGCTGTACTATGGAGTATAATATTTCGTAATTACATTTTTGTCCTTTTTGTTTTGCTAAATCTATTTTTTTATTAATTTTTTAAAAAATGCACATATCTCGAGATAAATTTACGAAGTATACATAAAAAATATTAATTGTAAAACATTTTTCTCACGATTTCCATATTATTATATTATTATTATTATTAATGTGTATTTTAATACAATACTGCTCTATATATATAGAAGCTAATCGGATTCGCATCATCATTTCATAATTTTTATGCTTGTTAAGCTGCAAATTATGGAGGTTGAAATAATTTCCAAGAGCTGCATTCCATCGCATCATCATTTCATAATTTTTATGCTTACTTGTTATGCTGCAAATTATGGAGGTTGAAATAATTTCCAAGAGCTGCATTCCACCCTCTTCACCAACACCACCTCACCTCAAAACCTACAAAATCTCTTTAGTCGATCAATTCCTAGCATCTACCTATTTTCCCACCGTTCTTTTCTATCAAAATTCCCAAGAAACAAACATAATTACCACAAGATCATCGTTGCTAAAGCAATCCTTATCTGAAACTTTAACTCGTTTTTATCCACTTGCTGGTAAAATTAAAGACAGATTTTCCATTGATTGTAATGATGAAGGTATCTGTTATACAGAAGCTACATCTAACATTTCTTTATCTCATTATCTCGCTCAACCCGACTTAAAAGCACTCAACAAGTTGATGCCAAATGCAGTTCGTGCGTATGCAGTTCGTGCGGTGTTGAAACTTCCTCTGGATCTCCTGTTGGCTTTGATTCAAGGAAAAACCAACCTTTTCCATGCGGTGGCTTTTACCATTGGAATATTGTTTCGTCACATTCGATGCAAACCAGTTGGGTTGTTTCTAAAAATTGGGGGCTTCTACTACATTAAATTTTTCTCCTTGCCAAGCACCCTTTATGAAGGGGGACAAATCCATGTTTCCACCCCAATATACTGGCGATTCCAAAGAGAGGACGAGTACTTTAAGTATGTTATTTGCCCTTTTTTCAAAAAAAATGTAAGTACCATAACTAAGAGATTGTGTTTAGCGAATTGCCATTTTGCCAATCTTAAAGCAAAAGCAAGTTTGAACAATATTAATTAATCCTACACGATGTGGAGTCAGTCATGCAATTCTCAGGGCAAGTTGCCTTATGCGCTTGTCTTTCAAAAATTTAAAAACAGGTATCGATTACAAAGCGCACTTGCAAGTTAAAACCCATACTGTGAAATTTGAGAGGCCAAAGGGAGCCCGCCATTTACCAGAAATTGTTTAGTGGGAACTTTTAAAGGAGTGTAGTGCAGTATTCACAATGGAGGAGGGAGTTGAGTGAGAGTTAGTGATCAAACTAAGGAAAGCAATAAAAAAGGTGGATTAATGATTTCTTGCAAGAAGATAAGAAAAATGAGGTGGAAGATGGTTCTCTCCAAGTTTATTTTTGACCGTTTCTGAAAGAGATTGGATTTGTTTACTAGTTTCCCAATATATGAGTGGGAGCCAATTAGAAGCTAGGCCAAATTCTATAAGCAGTTGGTGTAACTTTTAGTTTTTGTGAATAAAATGATTTTGTTGGGAAAGCCCGGATATGGGGATCTTGTATTGTGCCCATATAGGGGGGAGTATCAGATTAGCCTTTAATTTCAAAATAAATTTTCTCATGGATACCAGAGAAACAGTAAAAGAAATAGAAGTTGGGTTGTCGGATGGGGTGTCGATGGGAGAAGATGACTTTGATTTTTTAGAGAAAGATACAGAGCTTCTTCAATATGCTTCAATTGATCCATCTGCTATTTATTATTAATTTTCATCCATTATAAGTAATTAAGTATTGCTCTTTTTATATATTTGTTTTCCTTCCGAGAATAACGTATTCCTTTCTTGGAGAAAGACACACAGCTTCTTTAATATGCTTCCATGGATCCATCTCCGATTTATTATTAATTAAGTGTTGGTCTTTTCATATATTTGTTTCCCTTTGGAGAATAATGTATTTCTTTTCTATTATTATTGCTGGAGTTGAATACTATATCTAGAACTTACATTTTTAATATTTCTTATTGAATTTTATAAGTGATTTACATATTTGTAAAGTTTGCTAAATTAAAAAATAATTAAATATGAAAAAAAAATCAGTTTGCTTTATTAAGATTTTGACCGCACTAAACAATTTATAAATTAATTATAAAAAGAGAGTTTCAGAGATGTTAACTATAAAAATGAGAAAAAAAAAAAATTTTAACTTTCTTTAAAGGATATTACAGGTTAAGATGGAGTAGAAACCGTTGTATAAAAAAAAAAAAAAAAGAATAAAAAAAAAAAAAAAAGATTGATATCACTATAGAAAGTTCAAAACCTGATTATTGTTTAAGGGATCCAGTGCTTTATGGTGCTTTATTTTACTAACTTATAGTTAGTAAAAAATTTTTATTTTTAATGAAACATTATGAAAGAAAAATAAGAAAAATTGTTAATTGTATAAATAATTAAATGGGTTGGGGGGTTTACCAAAAAAAAAAAGAAAAAAGGAAATTGGGGGTTTAAGCATTAGTATTTAAATTAGGTAATTAGGTTGGTGTTAGATTGGTCAACCAAGTAAGTTATATAATATAAATCATAACCTAAGAGAAATTATATAATATAAATCATATGATAAGAATTTAATTGAATCTAAAATCAGATGCGTGGTTAATTCTCAGCCATAAGTGTGCTTACCAATCGTATTTCGTTGGTTTAATTTTTTTTTAATGATGAAATTGCGAAGCATATTCTAATTTACCATTTGGAGAACATTTTAAATAAATTCAATATTAAAGTGTATATAAGAGAAGATTGTTCGAAAGTTTTCTTGAATATTGAAAATGTAAATTCAATATTAAGTGTAAGTTTTCTTTTTCGATGGAGACCAATCGTGGAGATAGCTTTAGTTTAAAAAATTAATGTTAGTTGTTAAGGTGACTTTTACAAGCCGTTGTCCGATTGACAAAAGAAAAAAAAAAATATTTTGTCCCTGTCAATAATTTATCTTTAAAAGCATTTTCTTTATCCAATGAATCTGTTTATGAAATAATGAATTTGTTTTAACTTGTAATCCGTTGCTAAATTTTGAATTATAGAGCATTTCCCATGCCATTCCATATTTTAATCAAGAATATATAGAAGCCATTCTGATTCGTCATCAATATATAGAAGCCATTCTGATTCGTCATCATCATATCTCATAACTTTTGTACTTACGTATCAAGCTACAAATGATGAATATGGAGGTTGAAATAATTTCCAAACGCAGCATCTCACCCTCTTCACCGACACCAACCCACCTCAAAACCTACAAAATCTCTCTACTCGATCAATTTGAACCATCTGGCTATTTTTCCACCATTCTTTTCTATCTAAATTCCCAAGAAACTAGTATCTCAGTGTTGTTAAAGCAATCCTTATCTGAAACTTTATCTCGATTTTACCCACTTGCTGGTAAAGTTAAAGACAGACTTTCCATTGATTGTAATGACGAAGGTGTATGTTATATAGAAGCTACATCTAACATTCCATTATCTCAATATCTCGCTCAACCTGATCTAGCCATTATCTCAATATCTCGCTCAACCTGATCTAGAATCACTCGAAAAATTGATTCCAAATGCCACTCGTAAATCTGAACTTCCTTCTGGATCTCATGTTGCTTTAATCCAAGAAACCACCTTCGCATGCGGCGGCTTTACCATTGGTGTAAGTGTTTCTCACATGGTATGCGATGGAGCTAGTTTGTTTTTGTTTTTAAAAGATTGGGCCGCTGCTGCGTGTAAATCAACTGTTAAACACCCTTATTTGGATGGAGAATCCATTTTTCCGCAATACGCTCCATTTCCAGCAGAGGCAAGTATTCTAAATATATATGCCTCTTTTGCTAAAGAAGGCAAGCATATTACAAAGAGGATTGTGTTTAAGGAATCTGCCATTGCTAATCTTAAAGCAAAAGCAAGATTGAACAATATTAATAATCCTACGCGCGTTGAGGTGGTCACTGCAATTCTCAGCAAACGTCTTATGGCTTGTTTCAAAAATAAAACAGGTATCAATAAACCACTCGGAATAACCCATGCTGTGAATTTGAGACGAAAAGGGGAGCCGCCATTGCGTATCAATAAACCACTCGGAATAACCCATGCTGTGAATTTGAGACGAAAAGGGGAGCCGCCATTGCCAGAATGTTTAGTGGGGAACTGTGTAAGTATTGCTGGTGCAGTATTCACTGCAGAGGAGGAGTTGAATGAATTAGTGACTGGACTAAGGGAAGCAATAAGAAAAGTGGGTAATGATTTTCTGAAGAAGATAAAAAGTAAGGAAGATGGATTCTGTGAGTATTATGATGCGATGAAAGAGATTGGGGATTTATTTACTACTCCGGAATCTGATAGCGCAGTGGAGTTAGCTGGGTTTAGTAGTTGGTGCAACTTTGGTGCATACGACATTGAGTTTGGATGGGGAAAGCCAATATGGGCAGGCTGTGCTGTGCCATATGTGGAAGATTCAGATAATCCACATTTCAGTGTGATCATTTTAATGGATACAAGAACATATAAAGGAGTTGAAGCGTGGGTGTCTATGAACGAAGATGATCTTGATTTCTTGGAGAAAGACGAAGAGCTTCTTCAATATGTTACCGTTGATCCATCTCCAATTTATAATTAATGATCTTGATTTCTTGGAGAAAGACGAAGAGCTTCTGTCAATATGTTACCGCTTGGATCCATTCTCCCCAAATTTATAATTTAATTCTCATCCATTACTAAGTAATCATGTATTTGAGAACAGATGTTTTTTGTTCGCTTTTTTTTTCTTTTTTTGCTCATCATCCAATTCAACTCAACATTGTCGCCTGGGATAATTAGGAAGACAGAGATTCAACTTTCAATAAATTAATTGATTATAAAGACAAGATTCAACTTCAATAAATAATTGATTATAATTCCCTTTCATAGCATAAATTAATGAGCTAGCATGCCAGCATAGCAAAATGGCATTGCTTGTTTTTCCTCTGTTTCCTTCTCTACTACTTTCCAATTCCTGCTTTGCAATTGCAACTATAGGGGAAAAATATAAATTGTCATAGCAGAAACGGGTAGAGAAAAAGAAAACAAACAACTACAATGGGGGAAGATACAACAAATCCCCACACACTCTATTGCTTCTAACTTCCTAGTAAACATGAAATTAGAATTGAGAATCTGAACCAGAGCGTCATTCCCACAAACGACCACGGCTACCTTGTGTATTTCATAATGAATAACGATGGAAGATCAGTTACCATCTGATCAAGCATCGAGAATTGGGAGAAGATCAGTTACCATCTGATCAAGCATCGAGAATTGGGAACCGATGTTCTGGCCACTTGGGATATGCACGTTTGTACAGGCTCATTCATGCAAACAGTATCATGCTGCTGAAGAACTCCATTAAAGGTGCACTTCATAGCCCCTGAATACAAAGCAGAGACATTAGTCAGTATCGTCTGAAAAGCCAACCAAAATTGACAGGTGCTATCCATGTTTAAAATAGTCGTAGTCAGGGCATTCACGTCTATCCATTATGGCTGCAACAAATTTTCAACGCCTGTTGCACCATCCATATGGCTTGTCTAAGGAACAGAGCCTACGGTGACAATATCATCATCAGATTTTTCACCTACAGGCTACAAGATAAAAATAAAAATTTTCTTTAAAAAAAAGTAATTGAGAACCATACCATGTGTACCAACAGGTTCCTTGATGCGACCACGGCGACCACATTTGGTCCACACTTCCACAGGCTGCAAGCATCAGAATTTCATCAATTTAGGATAACGGCAAATAACCTTTGACAAAATATCTGCCATGGAAATTGTATTACCTTGAACCATCTTACATCCTCTGGGTTATGGAACATGTAGTGCACTGATGCTTTCAATTTTGACACCCGTTGAGGGTAACTGCATGAGAGAGTTCAGTAAATGAGAACGTCAGAATTATATTCAACAATCATAAGATCCATTTGAGATCATAATAGTTCCACAAAAAGCTCACAAGCCCACACAAATAGACAAGCAATTAATTGCATCTATAAAAGGCAAATCAGTGCTGTTTTCAGATGTACAGGAAACTATAAACTCTTGAATTCAATCTCTGTTTTTTCCCTTAATATAAAAGGTTTCTATTTTTCTCTTTAATTTTACTCTCCCTTGTTTCATTACTAAATAAGCCCAGTACATTAATGGTTCCTTTTTTTTTTTTTTGGAATTGAATAAGCCTAACAGGAATTGAATAAGCCTAACACATGGATTCAGCACAGTGATGGACAATCATAAATGATTCACAGTTCATTGCAATCTGTTATTACTCTCTTTCAATGAATGGAAGTAGTAGAAATACATCAGAATGACATGAATGAGAGGATTGTCATGACAGCTACGTACCCTGTTAATATAATCTTCTTCAGTATTATCCTGTCAGCGTCAGTGCTTCTCAAGGAACCGACAGCAGCAACAGTAGGGGCAGTGCCTCCTTCCCCACGCTTCAAGATATCAAAGGAAGAGGTGGAAATGAAATTGGAGCATAAACTGATGCTATGGAGAATCGGCCAGCATGAAGAAATCTCTCCATCTTGTGCTTGTCTGACTTTATGTTGTCAGTGGAAAATATTGGCCTGAAAAAAAAAAAATGGTGAACTTTCTACAATGTCAACTTCTGTGATAGTTGTGTTTAATTCATTACCTTGCAACAAATTTCCGAAAGCCAAAATGAAATATTAGTTCTTCTTTGGATTTGATAGGAGCATCATAAGAGTCATGCTTCTTAATATAAGAGGCCATGCTTGCTCAATGCCTGCAGAAAAATTAAAACAGGCGTCATTCAGTAAAAACAAAATGGGATCAGAGCCAAATCTCTCTTAAGAACAAAAAAAGATGAAACCTAGCCCCAGTGAACAAGAAAAATTCATGATAGAAAATTACCTGAAATGAAGGATCAGACATTTATCTAGCCTGCGTGCTGAAAAAAAAGAGACCACATGCCCAATTACAGGCACCGTTTTTTCGCAATACACCATAATTTGGAAGCCAAACAGCAGTGACGGTATTTCCTTGATGTGAAGCCTGCCATACTGCACCAGCTGCCTAATTACAGTCCATCCCTGTTATCTTGCGTCCATTGCCAGGCGGGCTTTGCAAAAAACATGCGTTTTGTGTTTTTGCAAAATTATCAAATGCGCCAAAAATTCGCATTATTCTGAGGCTGATGAGACTCCGGAAATTTTAAAAATAACATGAAAGGCGAAAATAACATGAAAGGCGTGCTCTGGAAAGTAACACGATAAATGCAATTACAAGATCACAATTGTGTTACTTTGGGTCCCATGAAGAAGTCCTAAAGGACTTGAGACCTCTATACTTGGCAAAACGCTTTCTAGCAGGAATATCCAAAGGAGTTTGCACTTCATCCGGAAATTCTGAAAAAGAGGGAGAAGAGATTAATATCAGAATTAAACAATCTTTTTATTACCCTAGGGAAATAACTAAAATCACAAGAAAAAATAAACATGACACAAAGAAAGATTGAAATACTTACCCTTGTCTTCAGCATGTGCTTCTTTAATTTTTTTTATCTCATATTCTATCTGTTCTCTTGTTAAATTTTCACCTTCATGCATGACAAAGGAATTCTGGTTAAATTTGGAGAGCAATTTTAACTGGAGAGCAATTTTAACAAAAGTGAATTTCTTCTTCCTTTTAATATAATTGAACAGGATAAGGTTTCCATACAAGTATTAGGACGTTTTGAGTGGAGAATTTTAATCAACTACTGTTCTTTGATTGCTATGCTATTAATATGTTTGAATACTGTTTTTGAATCACCTCTTTGGGATTTGCAGTCGAAGACCAGGAGAGAGATTCTATTAGACTATGTAAAAAATGTGCAGCCTGAATTCATGGAGCTATTTGTGAAAAGGGCACCACAGCAGGTCTTCAAAATTCCCCCATTTGGCACCATTTGATTTGCTTTCATGGGTTACTATTGTGTAGTTTCACTTAAATGGTCGGAGGAGGCCTATATGTCCATGCTATAGTGGTCTTGGTGGAAAATTGGATATGAAACATCTATCTCATAAATCATTTGTTTAGGTCGTTGAAGCAATGCGGCAGACAGTGACAAATATGATTGGAACATTACCCCCACAATTTTTTGCTGTAACAGTTACCACTGTAAGTTTATTTGATATCTGTGGACTTGCTGATACGGAGAGACAATAAGTTTGCATTTTTGGTTAACTAAAATCAGCTTGATTATTTGTTTTAGGTAGCTGAAAATCTTGCACAGCTCATGTACAGTGTTATGATGACTGGTTATATGTTTAAGAATGCACAATATCGCTTGGAATTGCAACAGAGTTTGGAGCAAGTTGCTCTTCCTGAGGCACAAGATGAGAAGGTAACTTCTTTCTTTTAAGGTTGTTAATTCTTGACACGTCACTACTAAGGTGATTGGTAATACTTCAACTTGTAAAAATTATTCTATTAAATACTCAAACTTCTAAAATTAAATCAATTAAACACTTATTAAATAGTTGAAAAATGTAAAAATTATAATTCCTAATATTACACTAACCACATATTAAGCGAATATCTTGCACATAAATACCAAAAATACCAAAAAAAAAAATATATTATTAGTATAAAGAGGGATATAATATTGACAAAATTCACAACTTTAGAGGAGTAATAGGTCACTCGCAAAGTTGAGGGGTGCTACATGGTATTTTTATACTTCTATACTACTAATTCTGTTCTATAATACTTGTCACGTTTGGAATTTTACGTTTCTTAAGAAAATTATTAAATTTGTCTAAATTATTGAGTAAATTGACTATGTTATCCTTAATGTAATATCAATTCTCTAGGAAAACTATTAAATCGAAATAATAATGATTGGCCGTACACAAAGGATAAAAGGGGAAAAAAAGATTTATTAATCTTTAAAACTATAAATGTGACAACTACTGTCTTGGAACAAACAATTTATGAAACAAATGTAGTAAAAGAATATAGTTGTGACATTCCGACCTAGTAAAGCGATCCTAAGAAATGTCTTTTGGTGAAATAACTTGGAGAGTTGGAAGAACTTCAAGTTAAGCGTATTTGCTTAACGGAAATCTTAGAATGAGTGACCTCCTGGGATGTTTTCCATTTTACCAGTTGAACAAAATTGTGCGGGTTTTGCCAATCAGTATAACATGTAATTGGCTTAATTCAAAGCGGACAATCCCTCTAATGGTTGGAGTCGATCGTGACAATAGTATAAAGAAATATCAAAGATATTAAATTATAAAGCATTTACCTCTAGATTCCATATTTTTTTTAATATATAGATTACAAAAATCAATTAGTATAATTATAATAATGCCATGCGTCAACATGTAATTATTTTAATAAAGGACTAACCTCTATATATAGAAAAGCCAATCTGATTCGTCATAATCATCTCTAATATATAGACAATCTTTTGCTTGTGGTGGCTTTACCATTGGTGTATATATTTCTCACATGGTTTGTGATGGAACTACTATGGTTTTGTTTGTAAAAGATTGGGCTGCTACTACATGCAAATCGCCTACCAAGATTGGGCTGCTACTACATGCAAATCGCATACCAAACAACCGTATTTGGAAGCAGAGTCCATTTTCCCACAGTATACTGAATTTCCAAGCGGGGTGAGTTTCTTTTCTACTTTGTATGCTCCTTTTGTTAAAAAAGGCAAGCATACAGTAAACAGGATTTATCCGCCATTGCCAATCTTAAAGCGAAAGCAAGTTTGAACAATGTAAATCCTACGCGCGTTGAGGTAGTAACTGCAATTCTTAGCAAATGCCTTATAGCTTCTTTCAAAAACAAAACAGGTATTGATAAACAACTTGCAATATGCCACGCTGTGAATCTGAGACGAAAAGTTGAGCCCCCATTACCAGAATGTTCGTTCGGGAACTTTATAAGCTTTGCTGGTGCAGTTCTCACAACAAAGGAGAAGGAGTTGAGCAAATTAGTGAGTCAACTAAGAAGGAAATGAAAAAGGTGGATAATGATTTTTTGAAGAAGATAAAAAGTGGAGGTGAAGAAGGATTCCTCAAGTATTATGATGCAATGAAGGAGGTTAGAAATTCATATACTAACCCAGAATTTGGCAATGAAGCAACGGAATTTGTTGGGTTTACCAGTTCGTGCAACTTCGGTATATATGGTATAGATTTTGGCTGGGGAAAGCCAATATGGACAGCTTGTCTTGCACCGGACGCCGATGAGTCACATGTCAGTTTCGTTTTTTTGATCGATAGAAGAGTAGATAAAGGATCAGAAGCATGGGTGTTGATGAAGGAAGATGAGTTTGTGTTAAAGTTACAGCTACAGCTATTGATGCAAGTGTTGTTGACAATTTTTGGAGGTATTTTGTTAAAGTCATTTAGATTTTGTTGTATTTTGTTGTGAACACAAGAGGTAGGTGAACTAGCCTCTGCTTTAGGGTGTAGGTTTGTGTGACAACCTTCCTTGACTTATTGCGAAGGGTTGTGTCGAACAAACTTTAGACATAGCTCTACTGATAAATACTTTACAGTTTATTGCTGTAATGGAATTAATAAGAGAATTAGATTGTTTCTTCACACTCACCAAAAATCTGCCCAAGTTTTTTCTTTTCTGCAAAATTTCCTTCTCTTCCTTAATTTTCTGCTGCTTCAGTTAAACCAACAAGAGTCAGCGGTATCAGAGCCCAACCTTGATCTCATAAGGGCTGTGTGATTGTGTTTGAAGTGAACATAGAGAAAGCCACCAAATAAAACCAGAATTTTGTGAAGTTTTTCTGTTTATTTGCTTTTTCCCTCAAATGCTTCCCGAGCAGCATGTCTCTTTGCACCCACCTTCATTTTAATGGGGAAGGAAAACTATCATGTGGGCTGTGAAAGATGACGAGCTTATTTCAAGGGGCTTGCATTATGGCTGAAGATGAGAGCTTATTTTAAGGGGCTTGGATTATGGCAGTATGTGGAGGAAAACAGAGTACCTCCACCTCTTAATCAAAATCCAACCCTTCAGCAGATTAGACAACGAGAAGAAGAGGTTGCTAAGGCTCCAAAAGCTCTATCCTATATCCATGCAGCTGTTGCAGATCCTATCTTCACCAAGATTATGACATGTGAGACAAAACATGAAGCTTGAGAGAAGTTAAAAATTGAGTATCATGGATCTGAAAAAACTAGACAGATGCAGATATTTAATTTAAGAAAAGAATTTGAAATGTTGAAAATGAAGGACAAGGGTGAAAGATTATGTGATTAGAGTTATTGAAAATTTTGTAAACCAAAAATTCGGAATGTTTGGGGAAGAAAAGAAGTTAGAAGAGAAGAAGAATTGTGGAGAAAGTTATGGTGGACTCTCCCTGAAAAAAATTTGAACCAAGATTCTTCTCTTGAAGAAAAACTTCGGACATGTCACACAATACCTTGAATTTGCTTTCAAATGGCTCTACAAGCTATGTAGAACAAAGAAAACCCCTATAGCGGAAGAAGGAAGAACCATTGGAGAGAAGGGCTCTTGTTGTGACTCATAAAACAAAAATGCAAGAAGGAAGGAGGTTCAAGAGCCATGCAAACTGACAGAAAAACCAAAAATGAAGAAGAATTTCAGAAAAATTGGTAGGAACAGGATGACAGATTTCCACCTTGTGCCACATTTGCAAAAAAACAAACCACACTGAGAACTACTGCTTGTTCAGACCTGGAGCCAATGTAAGGTGTTGTAAGGCAATTTTGGTCACCAC